CCATTTCACATACAACACAGAGCCTGGCAAACCTGACCACCAAACCAATAAACTATAATTACATGATAAATATTTGTGCGCATATATACTTAATACACATTATAAAATATCATGCATACACTCTCAGTAGAGAGTCCTGAAAGAGAAGACGACTCTCAATGAGAAGGACGGACACAGTGGTTCCAACAATGGTTTCAAGTATAGCAGCAATTACGAGGATGGGCCAGGATCAGGCAGTGTTTCATTCTACTTCATAATTACTTGGGGTCATTATGAGTCAGAACCCACTCACCAATTTGACAGCACATCACACCACACACACAAATTTACATTTAGTCTTAAGATTTTACGAAAATGAAAAGTTATGTCTAAATTGGAGATGGCAATATTATAGGGAAACTACAAGGCAACTTGTGCACAAACCACAACAATTAATTTGCTAATTTAAAATGACCGATCATGGGTGACCTAGTGGCAAGAAGCTGTGTGGCAATCCTGAAGGAATGTGGTTCAAAACCACCAACTGCTATGCAGGAGAAGGATGGGCAATCTCCTCCCTTGCAATTCACTGCCTCTGAAAACCTGGTGAAGGGTCACTTATGAGTCAATTCTGACTCAATGGCACACAACAACAATGTAAAATATTCAGAGAATGGTGTTCTTCCTAAAAATTTCCAAAACAGAATTCACCTGATGACAGAAAACATACAATTAAGGAGAAATATCTAGCTTTTTTAATACTTATAAAAAGTGAGATGAGAGGTCTTGGAAAAGAATTTTTTTAAAAAATGCAGGAAAGGAAGGTAGATTTCAGAAATTACAGTTTAAATAATATTTCCCAGAATAATGCTAAAATAGGCACGTAGTTCCAACCTACCAATTCCTCTGAGGGAGAAAAATGGGCAATATACTCCTATGTGATTAAAACTGTCTCTGAAAACCTGCCGGAGGGTCAGCTATGGGTCGGCTCTGATTCGAAGGTACACAACAACACAATAATAAGTTATTAATTCTTTTAAAACAAATGGCCAGGAATACAGTGATCTTTAAACACATAAAATAACCAAGTGCAACTAATGTCTAAATTTTCTTCTTGAGAAGATCACTAGTATGGAAGCTAATGGATATGAGACATAAGATACTTAGTTTCAACGAGGCACCTTACAAAGTCACTTCTGATACTACATTGAAAATATAGCTTAGATGATAAAAATTCAAGTGGGTCATAACTAAACTGTATTGGGAAAGAATGCGTAATTATTTCAACTGAATGATAGTTTGGGTGTCTTGGGTAACATAAATAGTTAGAGCATGTGACTACTGAACAAAAGGTTGGAAATTTTATTCCATACAGAGCCATTTCAAAGGAAAGACCTGGTGATGTATTTTCAAAAAAGCAGCTATCAAAAACTCTACTGAGTACAGTTCTACTCTAATATATGAGAATAAGTCTGGACCAACTTGATTATAACTGGTTTGGTTTTAGTTTCATGATAGTCTACTTATGTTGTTGGTCATTGCTCCAATGTTATTCATATTTACTAGTTATTTACAATGAAAATATAGGTTTCAAATTTATCAAAGATAGAAAGAATGGTCAAGAGTCTGAACAATACAATCAAGCTAAAACCGTAAGCCAAAACCAACAAGATGACAATTACTGGGATACATGTAAATTACATTAAAAGAAATCAACTACAAAAATTTATGCTTCAATCCTGGAACAAAACTCATCCCTGGAAACACATGCAACTAAACTGATGGGGAACATCATTTAAGGAATAGCTCACAAAATTTGGGAGTATTTGCCTCAGAAAGGAAAGCCTTACCAGAGCAATTATCAATTATTGGAAGTTTTATTATGCTGACAAGGAATGTGATTTATTATTGTGGTATATAAAAACCTATACCAATTATAAATATGAGTGTTTTAGGTTTATCATCAGCAGAACTAATGAGCTTTAGCACAATATAAACAATGTTCTAAAAGCAGGACTCCAGTAATAGACCAGGGTAGCTATGAAGTAGGGACCTCTTCCTTACAGCATTCAAAAGGTAAAAGATCGCACATTTGAGACTCCAAATAAGATTCATTTTTACATTTTGCAGATATATCTGATCTCCAAAAGATGACTGAATTAGTCGGCTAAGGAAAGCAACACTTGCAAATGGGTACATGTTAGAAAAGTTTAGAGACTTTTCCTTGACATGTTTCTGCAGAGATGATTTTTATTATCTCTTTTTCAGAGAAACTATCAACAAATTAAAGCTTAAATTAGTGTTGCATTTGGTTTTCTCAGTGAAAAGTCTGTACCTTAATCTGTACCTTCATGGAAGGATAAGGGACAATTATATGTCAGTCAACTAGTCTCAAGAGAGAATTGTTTTCATTAGACATTTACACAACTGTACTACTTGCTCCACCTAAAACTTCCTTGCAAGGAGAAGGCTCCGCCTCATCAGACGTGGATAGGAGGCAGCAGTAACACTGACCACCTCCCACTGCAGCCTAGGAAAAAGCTCCGTCTTGACATGCTCAAAACAATAACTTTTGAGAACTTCAGAGCAGCTGTGTTCAGGCAGAGTCATGGAATGTACTTGAGGCAAAGTAGTTGCTTACATGTTGGTTCAGAAGGAAAAAAAAAATCTTACTTAATTTTGGGTCAAAAGTAGAGAGAAAGAAGAACAAAATGCAGTAAAAGTGGCTATTAACATTTAAAAGCCATAGTGAACAAAGGCATTAAAAAGTTACAATACTGAAACTACACTGAGCATAAACTTTGATTCACAAATTAAAGACAGAGCACCTTATTTTCTGCTAGGTGGTACACCAGTCAGGATGAGAGATGGCGGAGGGATGGTCTTGCACTGAGTAACTCTCAAGTAAAAGCTACCACAAATTCTAAGAGGGAAGAATAAAACAAGGACTCCCCTCTCTCACTGGATTTGTGTATGTGCAGCTGCCAGGTTGTCTGATCATCTACTAAGCAATGTTCTTAATGTGAAATACTCAACTCAGTAATTAAAACCTAAGAGTTTAGTAATTAATTGCCCTCATTGTTCCTGGCCAAGAGGAAAAACTGTAAATAATTTTAAAAAATCAAAAGTCAACACAAAACTACATACTCCAGTTTCTTTGCATACAATACCATCACCAGTATTTCAGACATTATTTTGCTCCTCAACAGTAAACAAAGGAAAAGAACATACAGAAAAATGTATGCAACAGAAAATAAGTTATTAATTGACTATCTTAGTCCAATTCATGATTAAAAGATACACAACTACCAAAGGGCAAAGATTTTTTGCGCAGAATTAAGAACAAACTGGTAAGATTACTTAGAATACCTGCCAAACTTTTCTTTAGCTTCTTTTCTTAAAGACATGTTATATTTCGCAATAACTTCCACTTACTTACCTTACATTCTCCATGTTTAAGTCCAATTTTAGTTTGACTTCCCCAATTCCTGCCCTTAAGATAGGACATATCTTCTGCTTTTGAGTTTAAACACACACACACACACACACACAACACCCTGAACCTTTTACACCTTCCTAAAAGAGGTCTATTTTATTTACACTACTTGTTTTTAGAGGTAGTTAAGTTAAAACAAATTGTAATCCATCCATATTAACTAACAGCTCTTTAAGAATATGAGTGGGGAAGGCATACATTTAACAAAACAAATTCAGTATACCTTCTCATGCTTAAATGCCGATAAAAGTATATCTAACTTTAAATTTACTACAAAAAATGTTAAACATAGGAATCGCGTGAGCTAACTTAGAAAAACTCTGCATACCCACTAACTTATCTGACAGGGCCCTCTGTCTGTCAAGTAAAAACAAAATTTTAACACTAGGAAAGTAGAAACATGAGAACTTGGGTAGGAAGTGTTCTGAGTAGTAAACATCTCAGTCAGTGAACATAACAAGCAATTCTGAGTAACATCTAAGTTCCTGTGGGATTCCATCTTGGACCTCTCAAGTTCTAACCCCACCATCCCTGTGTTTAAGAAGTGGCAAAGTGTGGAAAGGGGAAAGAAAGAATGGAAATCTGAGTAGAAGTGCCAAAAATGTTCCTTCGGTCCTCACATTTCTGAAGGCTAGCACCAGTCTGAGTGACATGCCCTTCTAGAAGCCCTAAATCAATATCCAGCCTCCTTCTGATCAGTTATGTCTGTATCACCTGTCTCTAGGAACTTTTTCTACCCCTCTGGACTTTCATTCCCTTCCCAAAGCCATGCCTTCTGGCTAATCAGCTCACTCCATTAAATCTTTCTAAATTAAAATCCACTCTATTTTTTCCCCGAAATTTTTTTATATCCTGTCCCTGATTGTCTTTTTCTTAATTCAATCGAAAAGCCTCATTTCCAGTGGTTTCCTACAACGTCTTTCCAGATACTATAATGCCAAGTTTGCACCTGATCAAGATTCCTGATTCTCACCCACTCATCCCTATCTCCTGCCTATGCATTTTCCAATACCAAACACTTAACTCCACTCTTTGGGAAGTGCTGGGTCTTTAACCTAGTTTAGAATCCCTCCCCTGTATCCTATTCTACCTCATTCCATGACCCTTCCTTTAGGCTCCACTAGACTACCCTTCCCTGAGGATTCAACTCCCCTCTCCTTGCCACGCCCTGTGCCCCCCGGGGCTACTTACCCCAAGTTCTCCCCACACTTCAGGCCTCAGGCCCCGCCTTCCTCCCCCCAAAGGAAGGAGGCGGGAGGAAGGAGAGAAGAGAGGCGGCACTTCACAACCTAAAGGCGACCACCCATTAGTGCTTAGCGACGCCAATTGCAGCTTCCCTTTCCCTTATTGGTCAGTTTTAGTCCCTACCCCACCCTCTTCCTCAGACAGGGCCCGGCCACCGCCTCAGCGCCCCCGTCCAACACAGACTGGGAGGGGAGACCATAGTCTGGGACACTGGGACTGGCCCAAGTTGAAGGGGGGACTCCCGTCAGATCATGCACTAGCTAATATGAACAAGACTTACCCGCTGGTAGCTCCGCCGCCTCCTGCCCGCCCGCGCTCCACCCCACAATCTGTCTCCCGCTCCTTCTCTCCCCCCTCAGCGCAGCAGACACTTTCCTCCTGTCCGACCAGGCTCGCTCACCTCTCGCGAGAAGGGGGGAAGGGCGAGATCCGTTGGGGCTGAGTTGGAAAGAGCCCGAGGGGCGGGGCTCCAGGAGGCGAAGAGGCTGGACTTTCAAGGTGGGAAGGGTTCGAGAGGGAATCTGAAGGTGTTTTATATACACAAGTCACACGTGGTTGGCTGAAGACTGGGGGGAGGGCGGAAGGGAAATTTTATAGATGCTTGTAGTAGTGGAGCGGGAGAAAGATGTGGCAGTAGAACTCAGTAAAGATTTTGAGCCTTGGAAACTTTATTGGGCAGTTCTACTTTGTCTTATTCCCTCATCCTCTTTTGATATTTCCAGGACCATTCAAGATTTGCCCATAGCATTCATAAGTATTGTAACTTGTTTTTTGTAATTTGTTTTTCAGCTTAAGAAATGGTGAGCGAGTTCTTCCCTTTATATTCTCCAAGTCACTGCCCATTCAGTTATAGTAGTTTGCTTTGTCCTCTCTAGCTGCCTTTTGAAATTTTCTATTCCGCTCCTTTATTTCGGCATCTCTTCCCTTTCTTTTGGCTTCTTGACTCTAGTGTAATGTTCAGGGTCTCTTTTGACATCTCTTTTTGGTTTTTCTTTCTTCTTGGTTCCATTGTACTTTTTGCTCTCTTCATGAATGATATCCTTAATGACATCTCACAACTTATCTGGTCTTTGGTCACTGGTATTCAGTGCTCCAACGCTGTTCTTAAAGTTGATTTTTAAATTAAACTGGGCTAGACTGGGTAATAGTAGTCAGGAGATGTATTGCACTGGGAAAGTCTAGTCAGAGAACTCTCCAAATGATTGTGGAGCAATGATGTAATTTTGAGGACTGAGATGTGCCTGACTCTGGTCATAGTCTTTTCAGTCACTTGGCTGTGCATCTGAGAGCTGGACAATGAATATGAATGACAGAAGAATTGATGCCTTTGAATTGTGATGTTGAATAATCCACAGAAGAGTGCTGAATAGCCCATGGACTGCCAAAAGAATAAGCAGATAACCTAAAGTGCTCCTTGGAGGCAAAGATGATAAAGCTCTGTCTCACATAGTTTGGACGTGTTGCTAGGAGAAGTTATTCCTTGGAGAGAGGCATCATGCTTAGAAACTTAGAAAGGTGGAGGGACAGCAAAGGAGAGGAAGACCCTCAACCAGGTGGCTTGACACAATGAATGACTGCAGTAATGGGCTTGTGTGTGTCAGAGATTGTGAGGATGGCACAGGGTACAACAGGGCTAATGTCTGATAGTCATCGGGTCATTAATGAGCAATACTCCATTCAATGGTGCCTGGTAACAATAATAACAACTCTGTACTATAGGATCATTGAAGGGCCCTGGTGGCATGGTAGTTAATTGTTTGTCTGCTGGCCATAATTTTGACAGTTGTAATCCCTCAGCGACTGTTGGAGAAATGTGAGAAAGTCGATCCTCAGCACCAGGACAATAGGCAGCATCAAGAGCAACAATTTTCTCTTGCTCAGATCCACAACACCAGTGACACCAGCAGTTGGGAATCAAAAGAGAAATTGCATTGGGGAGATCTGCTTTCAAGGACCTCTCTAGAGTGCTAAAGAGTAACAATATAAGTGGAGAGACTAAGGTGTGCCTGATTCTGGACATGGGCTTCACAATGGCTTGATATGCATCTGAGAGCTGGACAGTTATACAAATGACAGAAGAAGAATCAATGCCTGTGAGTTGTGGTGCTGGAAAAGAGCATTAACAAAGCATGGACTGCCAAGAGAACAAACAGGTCTGTCCTAGAGAGGATGAAACTTAACTGTATCTTGGAAGCAAGGATTTTGAAACTCTATCTCACATACTTTGGGCATGTGGACTGATGGATCCAGTCCTTCGAGAAAGAGGACATCATGCTTGGAAGGGTGTTCAATGCAGGTGAGGAAGATCCTGATTTGAGATGTATTGACATTGTGACTGTGTCAGTGGGGTCGGGTGTGTTACAGACAGTGAGATTGGCTCAGGATAGAGCAAGGTTCAGAGCTGTTGTTCATAGGTTCATTATTAGGTGTAGTCAACTTGACATCGCATAACAACAACTTTTTTAAAAAAATTTAAATTTATTATTAATTTCAGTAAAAATTTACAGAGGCTTTGGATTTCCATTCATTCATTGTTGCACATTTCTCCCCTCCCAAGCCTCCCCCCCAGAACACTACCCTCTTGGAAAAGTAAAAGAAAAATTATTTTATTGTTTTACAAACCCTCCCCCAGGTCCACTCCACCATGTAGCCATTGCTCTAGACTCCTGTCATGACAGAAATACCTAATCACATATCTCTTTAAGACAGTTTTCTCCCTCATCTGTTTCAGTGCAGTATACATTACTGAACCCATTTTACTCAGTCTCTCCCCAACCCCAAGGTCAGTCCTCTTTTACAACAGTGGCACCATGCAATATTTGTCCTTTTGTGACTTGGATACTTCACTCAGCATAATGTTCTCCAGAGTCAACCATTTTGAATAATATTGCATGAGTTCCTTGTTTTTCAATGCAGCATAGCATTCCATTGTATGAATATACCACAGCTTCTCTATCCATCCGTTTGTTGATGGGCACTTAGGTTGATTCCAACTCCTTGCTATTGTGAACAAAGCTGCAATAAACATGGGTGTGCATACAACAACAACTCTTGTTAAGATTTACAGCCTTGAAAGAAATACATGGTTAGCTATTATTTGCATGACAATAGTTCAGGATAAAAGGTGCGCAACAAAATGCACTGCAGGGTGGGGAGAGGGAGAAAATTGTGCAAAAATGAAGGAATCTTTTTAAAGGCAAAAGCGAACTGGGGATGTAGGGAGGAAAATATGCAACAATGAATGAATGAATGAATGAATGGAAATCAAAGTTTTCTGTAAACTTTTGTTAAAATATCAATTTTTTTAAAAAAGATTTACAGCCTTCACATCCATGTTTATTGCTGCATTGTTCACAAAAGCAAAGACATGGAAGCAACCTAAGGGGCCATCAAAAAATGAATGGATAGAGAAGCTGTGGTATATTCACATAATGGAATACGACACAGCACTGAGAAACAAGGAACTCATAAAATGTTATTCAAAATGGGTGACCCTGGAAGACGTTATGCTGAGTGAAATAGCTCAGTCACAAAAGAACAAATACAGCATATTGCCACTGTTATAACACTGTTATAAAACAGGACTGACATTGGGGGTTTGGGGGAAAAGAAGAAAAGGGAGTAAATAATAAACACTGCATTGAAATAGATGAGAGACAGAATTGTTTAAAAGGAATATCTGATTAGGCATTATTTGCATGACAACAGTTCAGAATAAGAGGTACATAGCAAAATGACTGTGGAGGGAGGAAATTGTGCCAAGAATGAATGCATTTTTTAAAGAGAAAAGTGAACTTGGGAGGGGAGTGCGGGTGGGGAAGAAAATGTGCAACAATGATTGAATGGAAATTCAAGTTTTCTGTAAACTTTCATTTAAATTACAATAAAATACTTTTTTAAAAAATTTACACACACACACACACAAAGATTTAGGAACCTGAGGAAAGGTTGCTATAAGGCTGAATCCATTCTATGACAGTGGGTTTGGTTTGACTAGTTGTTATGTGCTATGAAGTGGACTAAAACTCATAGCGACCCTGTTAACAATAGATCTAAACCTTGTTCTATCCTGCACCATCCTCTTGATCTCAGTCATGCTCAAGGCCATTGTTACAGTCACTGTGTAAATTCATCTTGTTGAGAGTCTTCCTCTCTTTTCTCTGGCTTCCACCTTTCCAGGCATGATGTCTTTTTTTTTTCCTTTCTTTTTCTGTTTTTTCAAGAACTGGTCCCTGACATGACCAAAGTATGTGAGGTAAAGTTTCATCACCCTTGCCACTGAGTGCACTTCCTTCAGGAAAGACTTTTCTTCTTTGAATGGGTATTCACTATTCTTCTCCAAAATCACAACTCAAAAGAGTTAATTTTTTTTAGTCTTCCTTATTCATTATTCAATATTCAGATGCATAGAGAACAAATGAAAATACCATGACTTGGACTAGGCATACTTTAATCTTTAAATGAACGTCTTTGTTCTAGCACTTTGGACAGGTCCTTGACATCAAGTTTCCCCATTGCAACTCATCTTTTGATTTGTCTATTTGTGTTTTATTGACTATGCAATGGCATTTCACTGTGTGGATCATAACAAAGTATGGATAGCTTTGAGAAAAATGGGAGTCCGAGAACACTTATTTGTGCTCATGAGAAATCTATACCTAGACCAAGAAACTGTTGTTCAAACAGAACAGAGAAAACAGAACAAGACTCTTGGTTGGATCCTGCCTAAGAGTCTCTAGATCAAAGACTACAGTCTTCAATATAGATTGCATCATAATATCAAAAAGGCAAAAATACTCACCATGGGACTGATAAGCAACATTTTAAGAGGTGGAGAAAAAAACTGATATTGTCAACGATTTAACCTTACTTTCCACAATCAACACCCTTGGTATCAGCAGTCAGGAGATCAGGAGACGTACTGCATTGGGCAAGCTGCTGTCAGCGAGTTCTGCAAAGTACTGAGGAGTAGTGATGTTAGTTTGAGGACTAAGGTGCACCTTATTCAGGCAATGGTCTTTTCAGTCACTTGCTATGTATCTGAGAGCTGGATGATGAATAAGGATGACAGAAGAAGACTTGATGCCTTTGAATTGTGCTGTTGGAGAACAGTACTGAATATCCCATGGACTGCTAAAAGAACAAACAGATTTGTCTTGGGAAGAATGCAGCCAGAATGCTCCTTGGAGACAAGGATAGCAAAGCTTGGTCTCTTATATTTTGGGCATGTTGCTGTTGTGTGGTTGTTGTTGTTAGGTTGTCAAGTTGAGTACGACTCATAGCAACACTATAAACAGTAAGTCTGAACGATGTCCTATCCTGTGCCATCCTCTCAATCTCTTGACACATTCAAGCCCATTG